ACCCAACCCAACCCGCCCTAACCCGCAAGGGTTGGGTTATACTTTTGAATGGGTTGGGTTGGGTTGAGATTTTTCAAACCACCGTAATTGGATTGGGTTGTAAAAACGTCATAAACCGCCCAACCCAACCCGTGTTCACCCCTAAATAGAACTCCATTTTTTATAAATAATTTATAGAAACAAAATAATAAAATAATAAAAAAATAAAAAAATTATCTTTTTATTAATTGATTACAACGAAACATGCGTTTTCAACATATTTAAAGCATTATTACAAACATTCCTTTAAACCAAAAATAGGATTGGAACAGAATTCAATTCCAAATCCTTCCAAATTCTGTCAAAATCCAGTACCAAAGAATGATGACAAAGAATGTAATAGGAGAAAATTTATTAAAACCGTTTTTGCAATAACAAATGAATGTGTCGGAGAATATGAACGATTTTGGTAGATACTTGGTTGACGAATCTATCATGTCAAGTACTCCCTCATATGATGTTTTACTTTGGCAGAAAAAATGCTAATAATTATAGCATTTCGCTACAACAACATTAGGTTTTATAAAACACCTAAAATATCTAAGCGTCTTAATATAATAGTTTATATAACTTAAAATTATAGGACGAAACGAAAAAACGTCTTAACTAAAAGTATCACAAAATGTTTATAGGACAACTTTGCGTGTTTTGACAAGATGTTATGACGCTTTTAAAAAGTGTTACATCAGTTATTTTATCTGACACTATATGAAGTACATAAATGTTTTATAAATAGACGAGTTTTTATAGAACTCTTCTCAAAATTCTAATGGCAAAATTTTTATTTGAAAAACGTTCTAAAAACTTGTTGAAACATTTAAAAACATTCTATAAACATATTGCAACACTTTTAGAAAAGACACTTTATAGTTTGGTTCTATAAAGTATTTATTCGTTGATTTCATGTAACTACTAATCCGTCAACCCAACCCAACCCAACCCAACCCGTAAGAATTTGGTTGGGTTATACTTTTAAATGAGTTGGTTCAAATTTTTTTCCAAACCTCCATATTGAGTTGTGTCGTATAAACCGTTCAACCTAACCTGGATACACCTCTATGTTTAACGACCATTTTGGATGGACATTAGCCAAAGAAGAAAAATAGAAATAAAAATAAAAATAAAACCACAATTATTAAAAGGGAAAAGTAAAAAATAATCTGTTGGTTCCAAAAGGGTCTACAAGAATACTAAACAGTTTGTAGAAGGGGGGGGGGATGAATACAAACACAACGTTTTTAAATTTAAAATATATATTGATAGAGAAGATCAATACAGATTTTACAAGATTGTTTGCGGAAAGATAAGGTAAAAAAACCCTATCTAAACAATCTTAAGTTACACACAGAGGTTAGCAATTACAAGAAAAGAGATTGCTAAAAGAAAAGATCTTTTACTTTAAGCTGAAAGAAACTTGAAGTAAGAATGAGGGAGGAGAGTGATGCGCGCACTCTGCATGGAGAAGAAACACTTCTATATATACCCAGTGCATTAAATGTCCATTTAATGCAGTATGGTAGGTTATAGAGTGCGTGTCAAGCCTTAATAGGAAGRCTTGTCCTTTGTTACAGTAAATAGTACAAAAGCACTATTTAAGAACAGACATCCTTACCTAAAGATGGTGGACAAAGAGTCGACTAATCGGCTCCGTACCTGTACTATCTTTGGTTAGGGTATGGATTTGTTCTATTGTGTGTGCAAGGACAAAACAACAACAATCGTGCTAAGCAAGCTTCCTTTGATCGCTGAATGCTGGGATGACCTGAAGGTCTCATCATCATTCGCTGAAGCTAGAGCAGTCTTCACACATAGCTAGACAGGCTTGTAATCACTGAATACCGCTTCAGATCACGTACGCGCCAGTCTCTATTCTTCAGTTTCAGTCTTCGACGTTTGCTGAAGGATCTTTGGTGTGAGTGTTGTTTTCTTGAAGTATCGTTGTCTCTGAGTGATTTATAAAACGAGTTCTTCAGCGATCACTGAACATGCTCAGTGTATTGATCGCTGGAACTGAAAATACAGAAACTAAAATACATCGAAAAGAAAAAGGGATTATCATCAAATCACTGAGAGAGATGATCAACATAATCCAATAAACTTTAGTGTTTGGAATTATTAAGTCTTTGGACAATTTTTTGGAACAAATAAGTCTTTGGACATTCCAAAACTTGTTAAACAACTCCTTGGACTTTGTAAAACCTCTTATATACATTCTTATGACCTATAAAAATAATTAATGTAGTAAAATAATGGAAAAAACATGAAAAAAAGCCAATGAACATTTATATTTTGAGCGATAAAGTGTATACATATTTTTTGAACCAAAAAAATACTTACATTATATATCAAAAACAAATATTCCAAAAAAAATACTTACATTTAAAAAATATTATTGTTGAAATTTATTTTAATTAAAAATAAAAGATATTATTTCAGTGAT